TTTGCATTCAGATGATTATTATAATAAAATGAGATAATTTTTCGTATCCATTTAAGTACAAATTGTTTGTACCTGCTCTAAAACACAGCATTTAGACAGCTAAACATTTAAATCTTACCTACGGGTTAAATGTATAATCATGTAGGATATCTTCCTGAGGTGAGTTATATTTAGGTACTACGCATCTATTGAATAAAACTATATATACGGACTTTATCGCGTTTGATAAACTTATTATAACTTACTTTTTAATTCTCGACCTTTCGGGTGCTTTACAGAACCCATGGTCACAAGGGTGAATATGTTCAAGATCGTCACCACCATTACATCAGATTTGATAAACCACAATTCCTCGCAAGAGAACATCGATTCCTACCAAGGATGATACGCGAGGCTATTGAAATTAAAAAAACATCAATAGAGAAGATGAATGAGTGCTGCCATCTGCTTGGGATCCTATAATTAACAAAATTGAACCCAAACTCAAGCATACCACTACAAGACTTCACGATACTGTAAGCTCGTTCGGCGTAGTTTGAACCAAAAATTATTTTCTTTTGCATTGCCAATCTATTCTAACGTCTGTTTATACTAAATCTATGGTGCAGCTCTATTTGTCACCCACACGTACACATTACACGCACACTGGTGTATTTTGATTTGGATCCATGGAGGTTAGAGCCGCGCTGCCGTCGGTAAGTAGTATCTGCGAAGTTAGCTGTTTATGAGTACAAGTAGATGAAGAGTTGAATAATGTACACATTTTTTTTGCGGTTTTGGTGAGAAAATAATCGTGATCCGTAATTTTTTAATTTTTGACAAAAAGAAACATTAAAAAATGGTGAAATATTAAAAAAACAATAATTAAAATTGTAAAAAAACATAATTTATTTATTAATAAATATTTTCGTTATGTTACGTTATGTACTTATTTTGTCCATATTTCTGGGGCACTATTTTCTACAGCGATCGTTCTCCTCTCTAACCTCCATGTTTTGGTCTCTCCCTAATCACAATCATCAATCTACCGTTTTTAGTTACGGTACTATGTTACGAAGTCCACAAATCCCACCAGTAATAAATTTTAATAAAACACTGAAATATAGCTGCTATAATTTATTTGTAAAAAAATATCCTACTCACTACATAGCCAATATATCAGTTAGAATTTTAATAATTTAAGTTACCATCCCTGCGTAAGTCACATTATTTATCATCTATACAACAATAATTAATGTATTTCACAATGAGTATTCCGGCTTAACTTCTCTCATAGCTATATTAATCAGATAATTTATGCTGAAACTTACATTTAAAGACATATTTGACAACAATCAATAAATTTAATGGTCCTTCAAGCTTATTGGAAAGTAGACTTTATATTATGTATGTGAATATTTCTATGACAAATGAGATTAACGTTACACAAATACACTAAATTGTGTTCTATATTTTTGCTTTGAGTTAGATTCAAAGAAGAAGTCAATTTAAGAGATTCTTTGACCACTGAAAGACTAAACTCACAACCTCTAGGTTATATGTTTATAATATGGTTATATAAAAATACTCATAGACAAGTTTTTTTTTCAATTAGAATCTCTAGTGATTGTGAGCTCAGTTAATCAGTTCTATATTATATAAAATAATTGACATATTAATTTTACATTAACCGAAATATCTATCTGTTAAATAAACTTGTGAACAACCTTCACCAGCTCATCACTACTTATCACAATGTTATTTTTATTGCTTCTCGAAAACACAACTACATTCTCAAGCATATCACATGTGGACTAAAATACTTTCAACATTTGGAGAGAAAGAATAATTGCGTAAGGTACATGATCAGAGACGTTACAGAGAGTATACCTGTCAGTCTTTAGTCCTCAAAATTGTATGGAGGACAAATATATTGAAACCACATTTTTTAACTAAGCTAATATTTCAGCATAAATTATAATAAACGCACAAAAGAATAGGTATGCCTTCGCCTTTCTAACGAGACCAAAAAAAAAAGAAAGTCACAAACACATGCTTGTTAGGGCGTAAGCACACACGACACAACCGGTTTGTTAGTAACTAAATATTGATTGATACACATTGTTCAGCAACTCTTTATACTGATAAATCCGTAAATTAACCTATGACTATATAATAATAACCAAAATGGAAGATCGTATAGCGCACGCGCCAATTTCGTATAGTTATTCTGACAAGTTCCTCACAGCAGGAAAACGGCAAATTGAACGTTTCGAAGTGTTATTCTCACTTCAATATAAAATAACTAAAATAAGCATTAAACGTCAACTAGTTAAAACTACGTATAATACATAACTAAGAATAATGTACAGAGTAAATGAATAAAAATAATACTGTATCACTACTGCAAGCAGCAATGTTATTGGGACTGGAAACTAATTGCACAATCACAAGATCAAATCATATCTTTAAGCTGTCAGGTAATAAGATAATAATATCAACATTTCACTGTATTAAGTTCAGCCACTACATATATAAATTAACAATACAACAAATCGACAAACATCAAAAATACGTTTCATCATAAATAATTTCAAATTACGTGGATTAGAATAAAAAATCATTGAGAGAGCCAAACATTAGAAAGCTTGAATAATAATATAATTACTTTACACTATAAGAGATTATTGTCTATGCGAAATATTTCACACACTGACGAGGGGAGCAATGTTATAAAAAAATACTAACACGGATAACTAGTGTTCCCGATAATAAGTTTAAATAATCTCAATTTTAAAGCTTTCAAAATACGATAATCTTGACGCGTGTAACACGAAGATAATGAGTTAGCTGCCACAGACAAACAAGATCTGTACTATAGGACTATAGGTAAGCATGGTCTAGCTAAGTATTATCACAATGTCTCATAGACTGTGTAATTTACTGGCCCGTGGGGAATCAATAATAAATAAATTACCACTAAATTAAGTAAAGACGTTAAGTAAAGGACGGTGAATACGAGTTAAAATAATTATAATTCGGAAGCGATAACGAAACAGCCAGTTTCATATTACAGATAACATAAATGCACCTCGCCGAAATGCGAGTACACAACACTGACCTCGCTGAGGTGACTTCCGAGGAATTCACTCAATATAATGCCACGAACATTTGGTTTCGGGATGCTTACCCATAATGTGCAAGACATTTCAAAGGAGCAGTAGATTAGCTCACAGATTGAGTTTTAACCTTAGTCACTACTTTTACTGTATATAACTCCAACATATACGACAAACATTTGTAATTATAAGAAAACAAAAATAAAAAATATTCTTTCCCAACCATCGAGCGGTAAATTCATACAAATAATGGATAATTTCTTTGTTATTGCTCATCTAATAATATCATTATACTATTATAATCTGTTCGCCTTACACAATTACAATTATTGAAGATTCGCAAAAAATATATATACTATATTATAGAGAGACTCACTTGTCATTATTGCTTCGTAACAGATCAAATTCTTATCGCTAAAATACTCCAGGGAAACGAAAATACTTACATTTTAAATACTGACCGAAATGGGAAATAAATTACATAATCGTTTAACGGGCTAAATAACTGGGCCGTTGCTATTTACTTAATACGTAATAAAATTTACAATACCTTATAAACGAGCTAAAACTAAATGAATACTTGCTTCCTGCAATAGGTAACCGTAAATATAATTTCATCGATATCGAGAGAGCATTTTAAGGCAAGGCGTGACGTAGCCGTGGTCGGTGTCAGACCGTTTTGAACAAACACGACGGCCTCCGACAATATTATACACAAAAAAACAATACCAGCAAATTTCACCGTTCAATTATCATAGCTGTAGCATACTAGCGTATGAATCAATCATTGCATGTATCACATAAAACGCACACAAATATATTTATTTTACCTGGTAATACATCGTGCTCTTTACAATATACTAATAGATTTTTACGCATTGAAGATGGAATCGACCGAATACGTATTTCTATTACCGAATATCTATTTTCTTTCACCAATTTTTCAAAATTTTGTTCCAATAGTAATAAATTCGGAAGTTGAGTCTTTTTTCAATTAATTTTCAATCCTAGACTTGGTCAAATAGAAGAGATTAAAAAAAAACAAGTAGACGTACATAAAAAAGAGATCTATGTTCAAATCGATTTTGAAATACAAATAATTATATGAAGATTGGCCAAAATTCAGAAAAATTCGGTCGATTTTGTTAGTAAAATAAAATTCTTCCAGAACTAGAAAACAAATTTCAAACGGTTTCAGCGTAAATTCTTAATAATTCAAACCTTTCGCGGTTATAATCACAAATAAAGATATCTAACAAGATATCTTACGTAATTTGTGTTTTATGATACACAAAAATATTTTATTTTTTCACTGAATTGAATGTGATATAATATTATACATTTTAATGTAAAATATGAAATGGAATAATCACCAACATTGCAATATTTAATGAGTATCAATTGGTAAACTCGGAAGAAAATTCTATAATTGTCTTAAACTGTTGTCTTGAAGACACTGGCCTTACTATTACTACTGGCGGTTGAATACAGATGGGATATTACTATAGTATTGTATAAATATAATTTTATGTCGCGAACCAAATTTAACTGTTAATACAGGTTTAATAATAATATCTATTAGGCTAAACAGGTAGAATTGTTTCCAAAAATTTGTTACATTATATTATAAATAAATTATCAAAGAGAATCATCTTTCTTTCAAAATAGTAAACTAACTGAAAAATAATTGGCATCATTTTTGGGTTTACTCTCGAAAAAGTAAATATTTCTATGTACAATTATGTACGCATCAGTCCATATAGACATCATTTTCACGTATGTACCGAAACGTGTATATAAAATACACATAAATAGTGTAGACAATGAACAAAGGGTTAACAATGGGTAGAGTTATGTTGTGGAGCTCGTATGTGGAGGCGAGTCGGTATCACAGTGCGACAGTCAGTGCGTTTCCTCAGCGGTGACGTGACTCGCGAGGTTCAGAGGCGCTTCGTCATATTCGATCATACTCGGCCCCACCTACGAAAAATGTTATTTTACTGTTAATAATATTTTAATGTTAAAAAATTTATAGTATTTGGAGTAGGTCTAATTTGTTCGAAATACATTTTACATTTTTAATACTGCTCAGTGAGTATAAACGGGACATGAGAAACAATAAACTGTTCGTATTTCTCATGTCAAGTATAAATAATTTTATTTGATATTCGATTAATTTTATCTAAAATTTAGAAGCTGTTGTCAGCACTACACACAAACTCCAGATGGTCGTCAACAATTGATGGAAAGGACTAATAATAATTAATGTAAATAGTTTTAGATTTAATTTTAGATATAAGTTATTATCTTTATATTTATATTTATTTTTAATATAACCTGTTACATTCCAAATATTTGTACTTATAGTTTTTTAAATACATAGATACCTAATTAATAATTTATTTTAAATCATTATTATTATTTTAATAAATACGTTGTTCTATCTATCTTTTTTTTCTCATTTTTATCACTAACCCACATAATGACAAAACTTAATACAGAACAATAATGCGGATCACTATGCTCGCCCCTAAGGCCCGTGAGTGGGAGAGAGAGCGAAATACTCCGATTATTTATGACACAAACTGCACGAACAAAATAATTCTAGTATAGTCTAGGTCAATCATTGGTGCGACGACTAGCGAAGCAAAGAGTAACTTTTAGTTCCACTGGTCATCACTTACATACAATACCAGATAAAAAATTTCTTAATGTTCTGTAACTACATTACCGTAAATTATAAAGAGTCACGAAATATAACTGAATAAAAGTAGGTTTGTAAATTTAATACTCTCTCAATATTCGGCCATTACTTCAGTACTGATGTCTTGTGAATTATATCCTTAATAGATGTCATAAATTTGCTGAGAATATTTGATGTGATTGTGAATGTATTTCTACGAAAATATGTATTTCAAATGATCATAAAAATTTAGAAATAATTTATAAAGTATGATTTAATTGATATTTATTGAATGTTATACGTATTTTGTGATTCGAACATAATATATTACTTAACCATAAAACTCATCTGAAGCTAGTGCGCAATGCAATTGTCGTTTCGGCGGTCCCAATACTATTTTAATCGCGAGTCAGCACAGAGTACAGCAGCGGACTTTTGTTAAGCTAAGTCTCAGCGTTTTACTATCTTCGGCTGCATCACCACTTACCAGCAGGTGGATAGTAGTCAAGTAATGGCTTATAATAGTAAAAACCTACAAGATGTGTGTGTACGCGTACGTGTGCGTACATGCGGTGTGTGTGTGTGTGTGTGTGTGTGTGTGTGTGTGTGTACGTGCGAGAGTGCGCGTAGTGTGTGGCGCGTCGTGTGTATGTGCGCGTGCGTGTGTGTGTGCGCGTGCGTGAACGTGTACGTGCGCGTATGAGTGTGCATGCACGTGGGATTGTGTGAGCGCGCATGCGTACCTGCGCGAGGCGGTGCGGCTGCGGGTTCTGCGCATGCAGCGCGGCCAGCAGGTGCGGCTGCAGCTGGCGGCGCAGCGCGGCCAGTACGGCCTCCTCGCCCGCCGCGCCCACGCCCGCCCCCGCGCCCGCATCTGCCGCCCCTCTACCACCCCCGCCGCTTGCACCCTCCGATACCTCCGCGCACGCACCACCACCGCCTCGACGCGACTCTGCGATTATACATACATTTGTATACATTACATACATTCATTTACATTTGACTCCTTCCTATACAAATTTCTCTTACACGTATTTATGTACATGAAAAAGTTATAATATAGTCGCTATAATAATTCATAACTATATTAATAAGTAAACATTAGTGTTTAGGCCAAATCGTAACAACTTGAAACTTGCGAGAACGCTCGTCCCGGGCGAGGAACCGGTTTGACGATTTGAGCCAGCGGCGGCGGCCGTGTCAATTTAGTCGGTTAGAATTGTTACGTCGCATTAAGACTGCCTCCTTTGCGTTGTCTTATTTTGTACGTCTACGTGACAACGAGGCTTTCCTTGTATTTGAGTGACTAATGTAACTTCAATTGCCATTTTTTTGCGCCGACGTGTGGCTTGTGTAGTACTTTAATATCGTACGAAGGAATTTGCTTTGTCGGTTGAACGCTAAACTTTGTGATCCGGGAGGAGATCGCGTTCTCTTCGATTGTAGTTGTGCTAAGTGACGGTGGACTTGAGTTCAGATAGCGGCTAACGCCCTCTGGAGTGTTGCACCTTATGGAGCTGGGCAACGCATGTGGTTATGCAATCTGATTACATCGGTGACGTCAGGTTACATTACAAACCTCCCTACACCACTCACACATGCCATTTACTTGCCCCTGACGGCACCTTGTGGTCGACCCTACCTCCGGAACTCGTAAGTTTGTGTTTGCTTATACAGCCGTTATAAATTAATTATCCATAGGTCATTGGACTCTCCCCTCAGTTGCTCATCGAGTTGGGTTACTATGGGCCCCAGCCCAGACGACTTTTGTCGGAGCAACTGAGGGCCGTAACAACTATGATTTTCAATAACTTAACAAATTAGTGTATCGAAAAATCATAAGAAACCTCCTTTGTAGAGCGTTCTATATCTATAAAATGATATCTATTAAACGCATTATCTTTCAAACTTTTGCTAGGTGAGTTACAAAAATCAAAAGAAGCAAATTATTCTTATGGAAAATCAAAAAGCACTCTATGCATTGCACTTTTCGATATTTAATATTAAAATTAAGAGCTCATACTTTCACAGGATAATTTTTATATCTCAACGAAACTTTTAAGTCTGTTACTGAGTAAAAACAATTATCGTTTTTTTTTTAAATTACCCTAGTAAACATCCAAAACTTTCGTGCGTTTTTAGTATTATTTAAATATAAAAGGAATAGGGAAGAAGAAGTACCGTGGAGTAGATGTTCGTAAAAAGTAACGTGTATGTCGTCGTTAAGGTAGGTAAAATAAAGCGACGTTTTCTTAAATTTACGCGATCAACTACACCGCGACAAAATCCGTAAATATAGTTTTATTCAATAAAGCGACGTGTGATATTTCAATACAAAAAGCTTTCACCAATTATTTTCATACTTTTTTTATAGACTATGGCATTCTATCAGTCAACCACGAGCTAAGAAGTACATACATAGAATTATTTGTACTCAAACACACATATTATTTTGAATTATATTAAATAATTTTAGTGGAGTTTTATACAATCTGCTTTCATTCACGTCTAAAGTATGCAGGTGCAATACGTTAAATAAGGCTCAAATGAGGTAAATATTCGTGTATAACTACTACAGCTAATGGACAAATTACTAATCAAATTACAATCAATCATTGAGTTTTTTGTTAAGAAATTCGCAGTAGCCTGGAGTCAGGAAGTCAACGGTGTTTCAACCTCGTGCCTTCAAAAGCACGTAAAGCCTTCGGTTTTGCGCTTGATGTTCCTCGGGTCGTGACGGTTTGTCGCCCCATTGACTATGAGTGTGAGGAAATAGAGAGTGCACCTGTGTCTGCGCGCACACTCGGGCAGCATAATCCTGTTCTGCGCAGATGGCTAGTCTCGGGAATTCGGTTCGGAGCATTGAAGTCTAGTACTACGTAGTAGAAACAGAAACCGCAAATAAAATTTGTGCGGCAGTGCGGGGCGCGTCGGAGGCACGGAATACCTTTATATGGCACAGATTAAGTAAGTTTGAGTATGTGGGCTCTAATGCGTTTTGTAAACGTCTCGACTCTAATCGTCGATCTAAAAGTCTCGACTTCTCTTCTCGTACGTTGTACATATTACTTCAATGATGTGGAGGACATTTCTTTTATAAAATGGGGGAGACAAACCAGCACACAGTCTACCCGATGGTTAGTGGATGCTGTGACCCATAGACATCTACATCTATCCTTAATTAAGAATCAAAATGCAGATGCGTCATCACCCCTGAAGACTAAAATGGAATGCCTCGTTTTCAGTAATTAGGGTCGTCATTTTTTTATTTTTTCATTTACACTCATCATACAGAACGAAGCAGCATTAAGCTGCTACTTTACGCTGGTATTCTATGAGAGCGTAGTCTCACCGTGGTCGAGCCGAACCATTCGTGCTACAACCATAATATAGCTGCAGCGTAGCTCTACCACATAAGAAAGCATATTATATAAAAGTATAAGTATTATTAGCATTAGCATTAAAAAAGCTCCCAACAAATTCGTCTTTAAAAATCAAGTCCGTAAGTATATGATTAAATCCTTGCAAGTTTGAATTAACTCAGCTCTCTTTTTCGTATATATGTATTTCATATTTGTTTTGACATAGATATTATTTATACGAACCTATTGTGTATGTGTGTATATATATATTAAGGTTATTAATAGAATAATCACATCTGGTTGGGCTGGATAAATATATAAAGGGTAAAATAAATATACTTAAATATATATTTAATATACTAACATAAATAAATAAATAATACTTAAATAAATAAAAGCCCAACCAGATGGAAGCCCTCGGCAGGGGAGACCAAACGGCCGAGGGTTAGGGGGAAAGGGAAAGAAACCGTCGGACGATGCGGGCGGTATCGAGAAGCACCGCCTTCTGCATTTGAGCCCGGAGCGGTTCGTCACGGAGTCCCAGTCGCCTCAAATGGCCCGAGAGGCTGGCTGGGATTAACCCGTTTGCAGACACGACTACAGGAATAATTTCGGTCGGCAGACCACCCCACATGTCGGTTACCTCGTGAGCCAGGTCCAGATATTTTGATTGCTTGTCTCTTTCGGCTTTCACGAGGTTCTCGTCATACGGAATGGTAATGTCGACCAAAAATATCCTTGACTGTGCCCAGTCCATCAGCACAATATCAGGCTTATTCGCAAAAATAGTCCTGTCTGTGATGATGGCCCGGTCCCAGTAGAGCCTGGCGCGGTCATTTTCGAGCACGGCTTCCGGCAAGTACTTGTAATACGGCAATTTTCGGTCCACGAGACCGTATTTCAGAGCGAGCTCCTGGTGTAGAATTCTGGCTACTAGGTTATGCCTGTGCAAGTACTCAGAGTTAGAAAGCGCCGAACAACCGGAGATGACATGCCTGCGATGCGTGACTCCCCGGGATGGCGACAAGCTCGACAGACGTCGACAGTGTCATCCTTTAGGATGTATCTCCGATAGTTGTTGGTCTTAATAACCTGATTCTGCATTGCATAGACAAAACCCTCGGTTTCCCCGAAGAGGTCACCGAAACGTAGCCAGTTGAGGAAGGCGACTGTATCTACGAAGGGCTCACGTAGAGCCCTGTAGTACCTCCCGTGGAGCTCCTTCTCCTACCATTCGGTCCCCCGGTCGGAAATTCTAAGCACTGCTGGGTCCTGCTATTGCTCGTTGGCTAAGAATAGAGGGGTAAGCCCTTTATCACTAGAAATGACGTCATTATAGAATGGATCATCCGATCTCGCCAGGAAGTAATCACAGAGGCTGCACACTTCGCGATTATGCATGGTGAGCGCGTTCACAAAACCACGCTCACCATGCTTTCGCGGCAAGTACAGCCTCATTACCGACGATCTCGGATGATGCATCCTATGGGACGTCATGGTAGTGCGGACTTTTCTATCCAGGGCGTTAAGTTCAGTCTGGGCCCACCTGAGTATGCCAAAGGTATACATGAGGACAGGCATGACCCAACCGTTATATGCATGTGTCTTATTCACACCGGACAAAAGGCTGTTAAGCACTTTGGTCAAGCGTGCATAAAACACGTCGCAAACTGACTGTTTCATACCAGCCTCATCGATACCGATGTTCTGTGACATACCCAGGTATCGGTATGTTTCAGCCTCGGAAAGGGTTCTTAAGTTGACGGGCATAGATAAGTCTATGCCCTCAGAGTTAGCAACCCTTCCCCTTTCAACATGGAGGACCGCACACTTATCCGTTCCCAGCTCCATTCCAATAGAATTGCTAAATTCACAAGTGGTGTTTAGCAATTCCATAAGATGGGAGCGACTGGAGGCGAATAACTTGAGGTCATCCATATAGAAAAGGTGGGTCACTTTTGTACCTCCTTTTCGAAGTTGAAATCCCCTCCCGGAGCCCTCTAGTAAAGTACTGAGAGGGTTCAGAGAGAGGCAAAACCAGATTGGACTCAGACAATCGCCCTGGAAGATACCCCTTCTTATCCTTATGTGGTTCTCCGCAGCCATCATCCGCTCGCCCAGATAGGAAAGGATCGTACTCCATTGCCCCATACACTGCTCGAGGAAGTCTCCAACTGTACAGTCAATTTTGTACAGTTGGAGGACTCTCTTTAGCCATGTATGGGGCACCGAGTCGAATGCCTTTCTGTAGTCTATCTAGGCGGTGGAGAAATTCCGACGGTTGCGTTTCACCACTTTGCCAATGACCGCGTCAATGAGGAGTGGTTCGTTGGTTCCACGACCATCGCCCCGACATCCATTTTGAGCGCGTGATATCATCTGATTTAGCTAAAGGTGACGAGTGACTCTCGCGCTCAAAATGGATGTCAGTGTCTTATATATGGTGGGTAGACACGTGATGAGGCGGTATTTGCTCGGGTATGTGGTATCCTGATCTTTAGGAACCAAATGAGTGATCCCAGTAGTGAAGAGGCTCGGGAGCGACTTCTGATCGAGAGCCTTTTGAAACTGTCGGGCGAGCACAGCGTGACACACTACGAATCCCTTCAGCCAGTAATGATGCAGCCCGTCGAGCCCCGGACTTTTCCAGTTCGGGGCCCTACGGACCACCTCAGCCACGTCTTCAGGCGTTATGGTGACGGGGTCCATAGGCGTAACACTTGCACTCTGGCTCGCCACAACTTCCATCCAAGGGCCCTCGCTGTGGTTTACGGGCTCTGACCACAGGCCACGCCAAAATGCGACAGTGTCAGCCTGATCCGGTCCTGGGCCCGCTCCACATACCTCTGGTCGCTCCAATGATTTATAGAGTCTCTGGAAGAGACGATTCTGGTTGAACCGCCTTGACCTCTCGCTAAATCGTCGAATCCGCTTCCCCCAGCAGCGATTTTTTGCTTCAGGTCATCTATGCGCTCCGTTAGTTTCTGCGTGATATCCGGCTGGGACAAACTAAAATTTGTCCTAGCAAACGCCATTCTAACGGTGCGCACAACTCTCGATCTATTATTACCCGACCTGAAGCTTGTCAGTCTGCCGATAAGGGCCCTTGCCTTTGCGATACGGTCCTCGATTCTTTTTCTCCAGGCTGGGATGGCGCTACTTTTTTAAGTAGCACGTCCAGCCACGGGAAGTTTGGCGCCAATAATACGGCATACTGCCAGTGCGGCGCCAAAAAGAATTGAGTCCGTCTCGCAAAGGTCCCCGCTGGCTTCCAAATAGGTCACCAGCATTGGGTTAAGAGCCCGCACGACAGCCCGATTTCGCTTGCTAAGGGATATGCGGGGAAGTCGCGGTCGATTTTCGAGAGGCATGCTGCGCGTTTCCAGCATCGACTCTTCCAATATGCTCCTCATTTTCTCTAGTTCATGGGAGACTATTCCATCATCGTCTGAATTAACCACAAATGGAATGTTGACGGCAGCATCCACGTATGCAGTTTGTTGCGCATCTAGTGGCGCCGCATTCCCAGCCGTAGCATTTCCATTCTATGAAGGAATAGCCTCACGTCGTAGTCGTTCGAGTTCGGCGTCACCGAATATGTTGGAGCGCAGGATGTACCGAACTCGGTCTGCCAGGTTTTGCTCAGTGACTGATAGAGATGGCTCCAGCTCTGCAAAAAAGCGGATCCGAGCCCGATACGCCAAACATCCAGTTTCTTCCCCTTTTGCCCTAAAATACGCCCACAGTGCGTTTGCATTCATTAATTTTGATCAACGCATGCGACGTGCTCCACCAGCGGCGGGTGCCGCTTGCTGAGTCCGAGAAGACTCAACCGACACCAAGCCTTCTGGTGGGGATGATGGATGCGGGGGGCTGCTAGGTGGTCTTGTACCACCCCGCGCTCGGCTGGCGGCCCGCATGCTGTCGCGTCCAGCGCCAGCTCCAGACGCGCCCTGGCGACCTCCAGGCAGCGGCCCTTTGCGCACTATCTTTTTTTCCATCATCCATAATTTGGGCGTCCATTAACGGGAGACGCCCAGGCCCGGCACCGTATCGTGGACGGCCATAAGCACAAACGGGCCTTTGCACCCTGAATTCCGCCGAGGCACGGCGCTCACACCTCTCGCAAGGCGCTGACTGCGTTGACGTAGCAGTTTTGTCACTTAACCGTTACGTTAGCGGGCGATGGGGTCGTCAATTCCCTACGCCAAATTACTATTATTATTATTATTTTTATCCTCTTTATTTGATTATTGCTGCACCGCCTCCATAATGTCTATCTCTGTTTAGCCTAATGGTTGACTGGGAGAGAATGCCCTATGGCATTAAGTCCGCCATATGTACTTTTTTGTGCATGAAAGCATAAATAAATAAATTAGCAGTGGAGTGTACTGACTGTTTCTGGAGTGCTTGGCGTCGTGGCGCGGGCGGCGGCGGCGCGTGTGGATAGTGTCGCGGCGCATGGCGGTGGGGCGCGCCACGCCGTGCAGCTTGTAGTACAGGCCGCACGCGTTGCACACCATCTCGCCGCGCGCGTCGCGCCGCCAGATGGTGGTGGTGTGCGTGCCGCAGTTGCTGCACGCCAGCTCCACGCGCGCACTGCCGCCCCGCGCGCCCGCACCGCCCCCCGCGCCCGCCGCACCGCCCCCCGCCACACACGCACCCTCCGTCCCCTCTTGCTGCGGAAACGGTCGCATCATATGAGCATTGTGACATCCGCAGGGCCCGTCAGGGTGACTTTCTGGGATCGCTTATGCTATAGAAAACTTCAAAAATAAACGGGATTGACATATCTAAATCACTTGTCAGATAAAGTTATTTTTCTTTATGTGTCCAACATTTTTGTGTACTTTAGCTGTTCGTTACCGTTGAAGTTTTCAGACAGTTCGCCTGAAATCATATATTTGACGTTATTCATGTTCCGATATATTTGAGTAACTTTGATGATCAAAAGAATTTGCCTTTTTTATAGGATGAAATGACAAACGAGCACACAGTCCACCTAATGGTAAGTGGTTGCTGTGACATCTACATTTATCCTCGATTACGAATCAAAATGCAGATGCGTTGTCACCCGTGAGGACTAAGAAGAAATGCCTCGTGTCCAGTAAAAAGGGTCTCCGATTCTCTACACTCACCATACGAAACACAGCAGCATTAAGCTACAATTTTACGCTGGTATTCTGCGAAAACGTGGTACTTCCCCGGTCGAGTCGACCCATTTCGTGCTAAACTATACCACTAATATAACTGCAGCATGGCTCTACCACGTATAAAATTGGCTACTTTAGATGGTTGAATATTAATATTTATATTACGATTACTTTGAATGTTTCAAAATATTTGATTAAGTACCTCTAGTACTACCTTCCTCTTGACGCTGACTGTACTTATATATATTCATAAAATATCACGCCTATCACTCAGAGCAGTAAGTAGGGACTACGGACTTCCACTAGCACAATCTTGATACACACTCTATATTTTATCTACTCATACATGTTCGTCGGATAAGAGTATCAGTCAAGATTACACGAGCATTATGCTACTGGCAGGGTAAGTCAGGATAACTTTCTACAATCGATAATGCTATAGAAAATTTTATAAATAAATACGAATGACATATCTGATTGTTAAGTTACGTGAATTAGCACTGATTTCATTATTTTATATAGCGTTATCCATAGTACAATGTCATCTTGACTAGCCCCGTAGTTGTAACCTTAACATTTACCTACTTTAAGACAAACCTATACATCATCTACTATCATATACTACATTTTGATTATTATGATAATTACTTTATTATAATTATTTTGAGTACACAAAACTCGATGAGAGTAAATTCCCCCATACAAGCTTAACTGCTTCCACCATTCTTGCAACATTAAATTATAGATAGTTGCAAAAAAAAAGCATCTTAACAGTAACTATTGAAAAAAAATAGCTGTGCCGGGATATAAGGTGGCAACACTAACACGTTATTAGGAAACACCACGAGGAAAAGTTGAACTTATTTTAGATCACACGGACGGACAAACTTCTTTCGTATTGGTGTCAAACATAAAAGCTAGTTTCGGGTTTCGAATGTACCGCTACAGATCACAAAAATATGCAGCGTATAATCAAATATAAGTCTTATAGTATTAGTCCAAGCAACACACAGCCAAGACATAGAGGAACACTTATCCAGGTTAAGGCGCCACCGCGAAAACATGCACCTCCTTTCATCGAATAGTATAGGACGATGACACCACTAACGAAAGTGGAATTTTGATATAGGTAAATTCATGTCTTTATCTTGAATTTGCTTGTTCAAAAACACGATTGTATAATTTTGACTCGATCGTAATTATTTGCGAAAATACCTCTAAAAATCACTATAGTTGAAATTAAAACGAAATTACTTAATCTATATCCTTCGAAATCACTCAAATATATTCATAACATCAATATTCATAATTCACTTGCTCATTATTTTGATTACTTAAATCAATAATTTAAAAAAAATATTTTAAGATACTGACAATTTCTAAGCGGTTTTAATCGTCGCGGGCGCTACGCAATTTTAGACCTTAATGACGGCGTTTTTTCAAGTTTTTATAGAAATTATGTATTCACTCGGATTAGTACGGCGATAGCCCGGAGCCACTTTTTCGATGTGTCGTCTTAAACTTCATACATACGTTTTCGGAGGCGGGATGAGGCCACGGAGCAGGCGGGGGATCGCAGGCGGGTTGCGCGCGCGCTGGAAAGCTCTGCTTCCTGCGAGCGGTGCCGCCCGCCATACCCGTATTACTTGTACGAACAGAACTGGACCATTCGCCGTTCTGTGAGAAGAATATCCCTTACATAATAACACACCTTTATGAGAGATGTTTTTTTTTATATAGAACTAGCTTGCCAGGCAGACGTTGTACTGTCCTTTTCGACGGACCTTTGTTATGTCCTATTAAAACTCATTAAATACGCAAAAAAAATTGTGGGTCACTCATGGGCAAAAAAAGCTATCCTATCTCTCAAGTTGGACCAAACTGCGCACGGTGTGCAAATTTGATTTAAATCGGTTAAATAGTTTAGTAGTCGCAGACAAACAACGTGACACGTAATTTATATATATTACGATAAGGGTGACAAACGGGTGGCCGATAGAGTACATCTATTCTCGATAAGGAATCAAAATGCGTTGCGTTGCGTTATGTTGTTACCCCTGAGGACAAAGATTGAATGGCGCGTTTACAGTAAAAAAAGTTCTCCGGTTCTCTACAATCACCACATGAAACACAACTGCATTGAGCTGCTATTTTAAGGTAGTATTCTGTGAGAACGTAGTTCTTCCCCAGTTGAGCAGACCCGATCATGCTTTAACTACAATATACCTGCAGCATGGCTCTACCACAAAAAATTAAATTCTCCTTTTAGAGTAATTTGCAGAATAGTTGTAACCGAACTGCCGAGCCAGACAACTGAGAGAGTCAACTGCAGCTCGGGTTGATTATACTCATGAAAAATTGATAAAATCATCATCTCGTATTCCACTGTTAATTCCTTCAAAGCTACCGAACTTTTTTTCAAGAGTAATATAAGAAGAAGTGTTACCCACACTTCTTCTTATATTACTCTGTTACTCTTCTATATTTATGTACGTTAAGTACTTTCTTTTTTTATATGAGATGGGCAAACGAGCATGCGGCTCTCCTGATGGTAAGTAAATACCGCCGCCCATGAACAACTTCAACACCACGGGAATTGCAGATGCGTTGCCGCCCTTTTAAAAAGAATAGGCTCTATTCTTGAAGGTGCCTAAGTCGTATCGGTCCGAAAAAATCGCTGGTGGTATAGTGCGGACGCGAAGCAAGAAGAATTTCGTACGTTGACCTGTTATTACCTTTCTCTGTCAGTTCTGCGTGACATACGTGCGTGATAACGCGTCTCGCTCGCACATATGCAATGATCGCTGTCCTCAGGGATTGTAAACCTTTTACCTGAGCCTGTAAGGTTTGTTTGCACGTGGTATTTGGTTAGTCTTGAGGCACGACCAAAAATCCTTGGTTTGCTTGACATAATTAATAATTTTTAAATAACGGACAAACGACATTCCATCTTGGGATGCGTTAGTGATCGCTCAGTTTCCGGACACAGTTATCTCTGTTATCTATTCTTAGTTTGTTATTGTTTGTTAATTTTAGTTATCTTGTTTTAATTGTTAAGTGGTTTTGTTAAGTTTAATGTAGACAAAACTGTTGAGTCTTTTGTAATAAATGTGACAGGCGGAACGTCATCGGAAAGTAGTAACTCCGATACAGAGAAATCGAAATCTGATTTTTGAATTTTAATTTTTTTTTTATTTCTGCCAAATTAGTAATTGTAATGGACGACACACACGGTCAGTTCAACTGATTATTCCAACTGATCAGCTTAAACTTATAAATAAACTTATATATAAAACTCCGATACTGATATATTTATAATAATCGATATATCGAAAATCCGATATTTTAAAAAATATCAACAGGCCTAGTTTGAACTGATCAGTTGGAATGATTAGTTGAACTGACCGTGTGTGGTGACCATAACTCGATTTTTATAACTGTTTTTATAATGATTTCTTATATTTACGCGAACACTACACATTGAATAAAATAAATAAGGAGGCTGGGTACTACCACCTGCTTGGGACTCTGTAATTAATAAAATTAAAACTAAACCCAAGCATACCGCTGCAAGACTTCAAGACACAGTAAGTACATTCTGCGTAGATCGGACCAAAAAAATAATTAAAAAGCTGAAGGTACTCCGGGTTTGACATCAGGACGTCGGTCACCTCAATCCCCCGTGACCATGGGTGCTGGTAGGCACCCGAAACGTCGGAAATTAAAAATCATTTAAAGTTAAACGCGATAAAATCAGTAAAAGTAGTTTTAAACAAATTGTTTTTATAAAATCAAAATAAATAATTCATATAATACCAATAATTTATTTAATACGATAATAAATTTATTTTTTTCTCCTTCAAATATTTCATAAGAAGTACACGTAACACAAAAATGTTTGTGACCACTGTCAGTAGGCAAAGAGGTCATTGTACGAAATTCTTCCTGCTCCGCGACTGGACTTTTTTGAGTTTTCTGAGTTGTGCGAGGAAGAAAACTACTTGTAAATCGCACAGTAGTGGACCGTCAATCATCCAGGGGATAAGGATGGTATCTCGAAACTTAGGAGATACGATGAAGGGGTTCTTTTTAGCGGTAACCGCGCAATTTTGTGTCTTCTGGGGATTAAACTGGATTAGAGTTAGTCACCCCTAATTCGAGACTGTTCAACAATGTCTAGACTTCAGACACGTTTGTTCCGGTTCGGTGACGTTTTCCCGAGAAATATTGGCACGGCCGGTGGATAAAGCATCACCAGTGCTGTCGTCCGCATAGCAATTAATGTCACCGGATTGCAACATATCATTGATATACAGAAGAAACAGCTTTAGTGATAGCACGCAGCCTTGTGGAAATATCAGCGTTAATTAGGCTTGTAATAGGAGCATGCATTTTTCTGCTTTGTTCGAAAAAAAAAATGTTTTGCTCTAGTATCATTATCAAGGAAGAAAACAGAGAAATACGTTTGTATGCAATAAACACTGCTGGAATATCTTCTTAATTAATATTTTTTTATTATAATTAATTTATATTAAATTTGCAACGAATAGTAAATTCGACCACATTCCGAATACCAAATATGCGGTATTTCTACGGGCTTGCTGGCCGAATAGCCGAATATTAGGCAAAAGTACTTAGCCGGTAAGGAATTAGTGTCAGTCTCAGAGCGTCTTTTCTCGGAAGGTGAGATTTTCTACGAGAAGAAAAGGTGTAAACTACTGCCTCAAAATACATAGAAGTTAGTCTTTCTGCAACATAATCTTCCACTTCTGAATTTTAATTACGATAATTCAAGTACAAGGACATTTATTTTGATAGTTTTTTGTTAATATAATACGGAAGTTCATTATGTACACATATGATTACTTAAATGATTACAAGATTGAGAGAAAATTTGATATAATATAAGAAGATAATAAAACGCCTTACTATTTTATACTATAATAGATTAATATAGATGTATAAAAATAAGTACATATATTAAATGCAATAAAATCAGCTAAAACTAGTTTAATTAACCTTTAATTAAGTATGCAAATAGGCTCGAGTTCGATCCCGACACTATTAAGAATGCTTAGATTGGCATAGTAGGAAACATCATGAGAAAAATGAGAAATATTATTATATTTCGAGGACATGTAAACTCGGCCAATTTGCATAGGAAGGTAATTTCCTGCTTCATAAACTTCCAATGAAAGGAGGCCTGTGTCAAGCAGTGAAACGAACTTACAGCAGTGCACTTTAAAAAGTATCGAAAAAAGATCATTTCAAAAAATGCAGATTGTATAGCAATACCTCACATTTTTATATTTCAGAATTCACTTAGGGCCGCGGTAGCCTGGTAGCTCAGAGGCTAAGCGTACGCTGTAATTTCCACATAACGCGAGTAACCTGCGTTTTATCCCCGCCGGCACTTATGAAATTGTTAATTTATAATATAGAATAGAAATTTTAGAACTGATTTATCATATACTAAGCGATAAAGGAAAACATCGTGAGGATATCTTCATGTCTAAGAAATAAAATATTTTAGAGAAGCATGTGAGAGATGGCCTTTGCCCACAAGTGGGACATATAAAGTCTGTTACTTTACTTTTAAACTCACTTAATCCCAAAATAAATACAATCTGACACTAACGTATCCATGACCCAAAATGAATCTTCACCTTGAGTAAACAAATGCTACTATTATAAATAAGTGCGCATAGTGTAATATACCTTGACGCACCAGCCACAAGTATAACATTTAGATGCTTAAGGAAAATTCTATTTACCTCGATGCAACATTTACATGACAATGTTTTGTGTATACAAAAGAATTTAATTTGTTCTATTCACTAGCAATGTCAGTTGTATCTCGTGCCTGCTCAAGTTAAGACCATACACGAAAAGTGTCATTGTGTTTACAATAGTATTTAAGTTCAAAAATATTTCGTGCAAATTATGACGACCTTAGTTCAATAATGATTTGTACATATATTTCTTACAAAAAAGTTAAAAAGCCATTTAAATTTTTACTGATCATTTCATTTGAAATTCCTGAATTATAATTGCTATAAGTTATTTGAAAGTTCTATTGTTAAGATTCAGTTAAATTTTACATCACAAAACTATTTAATAAAAAAAGTAAATTTTTTTAAATATTTTTTTAATTTACTGTGAACTTTACTTATTTTTATTGCAACATATTTAAAAAGGCGCGATTTCCAGAGATATAAAATATTTAGTAATTTCTAAATGTGTTTGTTCAATTTAAAAAAAATTAAATCATAATACTATTTAGCTATTGCCTGGTACCCAACTAAAATGTATTAAAAAAAATTACTGCAGGAAAAATACATGTTAAATTTATTGTTCAGCGACAGGTTTTAAATTATTACAATAAATTGTGAACTATAATATTCGTTCAGACATAAGATTCAGAATAACTGAGAATATTAGATTAATGTGCCTGTGCATGCGTATAAGTATGTGATATCACTGACCGGCGAAACGGCACCATTTGGAGGCTGCAGCAGGCTGGCCGGGAGAGGAGAAGTGGCTGCTCGAAGGGGAGAGACAGTCATGCCCAAGTGTTTGCTATTTATAAGTCTGCGCAGCAACTGCGTAGCTTCGCCACCTCGACCTGTACGTAGCAATCATATCAAAATTAAGTAGATTTTTTTTTTAATTTCAAAAGCCTTACGTCCGCACTAGGATTTTCTCCTGTATCTTGGGAGCAGTATACATGCATAAATATTTATAACATTATGATTCATTGTCCGTTTGTTGATTTGATTTAATGATTAATGACACATTTATCATAAACCATAATCTAGACAGGATGTGGTGATATCAAATACTAGTATAATGTTATATCTTTAAAACACGTTTTTACGTGGTAGAGCCATGTTGCAGTTATATTAGTAGTATAGTTATAGCACGAATGGGTCGGCTCGACCGGGGAAGGATCACGCTCTCACAGAATACCAGCGTCAAATAGTAGCTTAATGCTGCTGTGTTTCATATGGTAAGTGTAGAGAACCGGAGACCCTTTTTACTGGAAACAAGACATTTCACCCAAGTCCTCCCGGATGACAACGCATCTACATTTTGATTCGTAATCGAAGATAGATGTAGATGTCTATGGGCCACATCAACCACTTACCATCAGGTGGACTGTGTGCTTATTTGGCATCCTATCCTATAAAAAAAACCCACGACTGGCACAATTAATTACTTAATCTATTCTATTCTATTCTAAATGTCACAAGGACAAACATCCAGACCCGAAACAATTATTTGTAGGCCACCGAAATACTCCTCCGATTCAAGCACTGCAACTGCGCTACGGCTAAGCCACTGCGCAGATAATTTGCTTTTGAGTTCTTTTTTATTTACAAAAAATATAGATTACAAACATGAACGAAATAGAGAGATTTCTTGATCATTTAAAAACGTAAATAAAACTTTAGTATTTTAATACGCATTCTCGTCTCGCGGGATAAGACGGGTTACATCGGACTCGACATAAGCCAAATAGTGTGACAGCTGCAATATCTTCCCCTTTTCTAGCAAGTCATAGGCGAGCGGCACTTTCCTACTGAGTCTCAATATTTCTCAGAGAGTCACGCGGACACTTGTTAGACACACCCGGACATGAAGACAACTGTCTTTACACTTCTCACACAGTTGTCTTCATGTCCGACCGTAGCTTCAATACCGCATCAGCGTTGCCATTGCCCGTGCGAGTCGCAGATATAGGGAGAAAGGGAGTGTTTCGTAATACTAAAACTCATACTTCCCCGCAATTTTCCCTATGTCCCCTCGGTGTCTCGGTACAATTCGCCAGCTCGTACTGGGTGGACTGATCAAACTCACTCGAAACGTAAGGAAGAATATGACAATTTTTTTTTACAATTTAAAGGTGTTGTCTAACGAACGACGGTTTGGCGACCAACTGATGACCGCCAAACTTTTCAAAAACGATGAACCAAAATTTCACAGACATCATCATTTGTGACGGGGAGGAGTATTATAAGTACATTATATCGGCTTTGGGCTCCTCGACCTATTCTATCCCAGTTGCTCAGCATGCTAACTTTAATACCAATTTTACTTTTTCAGTTGTAATTTAGTTATTGAGTTTTAGCGAGACTAACGGACAATAATTGGTGTTTTATATAGAGAAGATTAATAAATTATTATTATAAGGTCCGTCCGTGTGCGGAAACGATTGCGTAACAACGCTGTAGAATAAAAATATACAACAATTAGCGGAAAATAGGTAAACGGATAGTCTCCAAGTCAATGACAATTCCGATTCGTTTTCCGCCGCAATCTTCCTTCCAATCCTTAGCCAAATTAGTCATACCAGACCAGAAGGGCTTAAGACAGAAGTAAAGTAAAATGAAGGACTTAACGCTCTAGCGACGTTTGTTCCACAAAGTTATTGACAAGGGAACTATGGTAATTTTTGCAATTTTTTTGTAAAATAGCCATTTTGTAATATTACAAAAGAAAAATAATTTGTCGAAATTAATTACTTCTAACACCGCACTGGAGTAAAGTCAACATCTGTAAGGGGAACTAATTTCTATATTTAATCATCCAAATTTGTTGCTCAATTTAAAATATTATGATTTCCGAACAGAACGGAAGAATTTACAATTTTCTTAAAATACAGTGTATATAACGACGCTTGTACCTGGCATTTTATCTGTCTATGTCTAGTTTATTGTAGTATTTTGTGAATTTAATATCTTTAGAGTTTTTACATGATAGTAAAAGATATGTCCAATAGGGAATGTCGTTTATGGAGCGTAATTTTCTACGACTTTAAGTACAATCCCGATGTTTGTACGATATTACTACCGTTTTGTCTATGAAGCGCCTGCCACAAAGACTCTTTGTCGTTTTCACCTTCATGTGGAGGCTTCGGCGAAGACTGAGTGGATGGCACCGACTGCGTCTCCTCTGGATCGTCCTTTAAGTAAAAAAACGCCATAAATGAATTCAGCTATTAAGAATATTACGTCAAAACAATCTAATGTTAATGAAATATAGAGACAGCTATTATTGAAGTAATTTGTCTTAAACACAATTTATAGAATAAAAAAGGTAGTGAAATCCTTTAATGGATTTGTTTTATTTTCTTACCAAATTATTGACTTTCCAACAATTACTAAGGTAATTAAAAGCAAAATTTAGAAACACACACTAGTATTACCTATCTTAAATATGAAGTCGGTATAATTAAGTCACTTCTAAGGCCAACTGCCACAAAGAATATTGGAAGTCCTTTCAGTTTGGGTGAAGCTTTTTCCGATAGTGGACTGTTTACAAGATAATGAGTATAAAAATAAGATGTGTATGCACTTTTTTAAATAAAAGATGTATATTTTAAAATCGGCATTAGTGTTTTAGGTATCAATAAATACCAACAAAATTTGTAACATAATCTGTAATCGCAAAAAATATAACTATTGAACAGTATTGTCAAATATTCTCATAAATTATAAGTCAAATTGTTTAACCTGATAGGAAATAGAAGGGATATCGGGAAGGACGATAAATAACAAAATATGGTAAATTACACACCTGCGACATCTCAGATATATCCATTTGTAATCTATCTGGATCTGAACCACTACTGCTCTGACTGCATTCCTCGTAAATTGAGCTGTCTTTTGTTAGCTTTGCTTTGCCGCCGGACCGACCGAACACGTGCTGCTTATACTCTTCCGCGAAGTTTTTTGTCTTGCTGTCTGCTGCTGACCGATGTACGAACCCTTCGATGGAATCGCGATCCACTGGCTCATTCTGTTCAATTAGTTCTGTTTTAATAGAGCTGTATAACGAGAGATCCATTTCCTTATTGTCGTGATCATCGTTGCTGTTCGGACTTGCGGCGGGCTGCGACGCACTGTACGCGTATTGATCATCTGAGTACTCATGAGAGTAGCCACCTTCGGTAGCGCTCGCTGGATGCGTCCTGTCTATAACGCTCGCATAGTTGGGGGGAAAGCTCTGAGAGTCTTCGTTATCCCTCTGCGCAACCGCAACCGCCTTGCTTATTATATCGATGACTGCATTGCAGTGCATCACCTCCCTCGCTCTATCAGCGGGCGGCAAACATGGAACATTGTTGAACATTATATGTGAACCTTCTTCCGTCTTAACGACGTATTTTGTTGGGTCGTAGTTCTTTATTTGGAGCAGCGTCACCGCCGCTTGTCTGCTCTCCAAGTTCTTCATCTCTTCCGTGGAGTCAGGTGAGCCGACTTCGGCATATTTGTGTTTAATCACATGTTCGTAATCAGTCCCGTTTATCGGTTTGATTATCTCCTCAAGCTTGTCGGCCGTTATACTTAGGACCTCCTAAAAATAAAAATTATATTGTTTGAACAAACTGCGTTCCAAATATGGCGCAAGATAACACAAATAAACATTAACCAATGACGCGTTCGTTCATTCTAAGTCACTTTATGATATCACATGCCTCTTAACTGATAAGATAGTACACATTTGTATCGGAAGGTGCTAACGCAGTATCCTTTATGATTTTAATGAAAATGTTTCATCAGAGAAAGTTTAAGCAAGTGAGTTGGTGCAATGTGCAAATGGTGCAAGAGTTGGTTTAAGCGACGGTGTGTGTCGACCATTGGCGCTTATGGTTGTTTGTTTGTTGTAGGTGTTAGTGTTGTTATGTGCGCTTGTTGCGACAAGCGGCGCTGACAGTGAAGTGAAAAACACTTTATGCGATGTTTTCTTACAAGACGTCAACTATCTTACACTGAACTGTTCCCGGCGTAATATAGAAACAGTTCCAAACAAGTGGCCGGAGCAAATTGACAATATTGCTAATGAAGGTAAATGCTATTTAATAAATTTATAATAAAAAAGCGTATAGCATAAGTATAATAAAAATATTCATCCCCTAGATGGACTGCAAAGTAATTAACGCAATTGCCTGCATTACGTGTTCGTAGTGTTCATATAACTATTGACTGCGGTTATCATAATTCATAGAAGCCCCAATTCTCTTACTAAACAAAGAAAAATTGTGATTAAACTTATTATCAGTGGCGTAGCGGTCAGGGAGGGGTCAGGGGGTTAGGGTACGAACATCATTGTTCGATTGAACGAAGACATGAAATAGTTCAGTCAATGTACACAAAAATAACACATGGATAGAATTTAGTGTTATGTTCTTTCTACATGACAAAACCAACGAAGTCTTTCTTAATCCTTGTCACATATTTATACAAACCACACTTTTCTTATCACAAAATTTCTCACTCTCAAATTCCAAATCACAAGCAACATACTCCTTAATGACCTTAATGACATTTATATCGCACATAGTTTATTCTCGCGCTTCTTCTGCCACGCACCCAGCTTTCACTATCATACATTAAGATAGGAACTAAAACAGCATTGTGAATTGCCATACAGGCCTATTGTGACACATTTTTTCCACGATAGGGTAAAGAGTTCCCCATCATTTACTCTGTCTACAACCCTAAATCCTAAATACACAAACTCATCCACTTGTTTAATCAACTCCTATTCTCATTTCACATATAGTTTCACTTCTCATTCAAAACTATATCTATACTTTCTTCTTACTTATGTTCACTTTTATTCGCCTTATTTTAATGACCTGTTTATTAATGTAACCGTCATTTGCAGCTCACCCGCCAACGATGTAATTATGAGTTTATCGTCGGTGTACAAACGACATTTGACAGTAAACTCATCCATACTTTACTCACATTCTTCAACTTTCAAAGTTTCCAAACAACTGTCCATAAATAAATAAACAACCACGCGGATGCTACATAACACTTTCCGACATCTTTATGGATGTCACACCAGTCCGAATAGGCGCCCTTGATTCTGACCGAAGCACTTGAGTCTCTATTAAGATATTATAAAACCTGTGTAAGCCCAGCGCTCAACCTAAACGAGTCCAGTGTTTGTCATAAAGCTATCCTGACTAGTCCGTCATAAGCCTTTTCCAAGTCCATAAACGCATAGAAAACTACTTGGTTTTTGATCTAAAAAGTCGCTCTAATCATACGCATAGAAAAGGCCTTAATCCGTACACCACATTCCCTTTTCAAATTCAGCTTGCAGCGATACTAAGCAGACTCTTGCCTTGGTAATTTTTACAGACCTACTGGTTACCCTTTCTCTTCTCGTTTTAACTCCCGGCGAATATATGAAATCTAAATTTACACTGTAGCTTTTTTAATAAGACCATTACAACTAAAAACTAAAAGGTAAAATTAAAGGTTTACTGAATTAAAAAAGACTACTGACTTAAGAAAGATTAACTGGGGGCTTTTGATTAAAAGACTACGTTATATAACAATACGTCATTAGCACAATAAATACAAAAGTAGTTATGATTCAAATACAAAACGGAACACGTGACGTTATTTATCACAATATATATTTCAGGTGGCCATGTTCTGATTACGTTCTTCAACAACAGTATATCAACAGTGACGCAGCTGCCCGAGATTCCTGGCAACAGGATCGCCATCAGTTTCAAGTCGAACGCCATCATCGAAATAGAGGACGATGCGTTTAGAAACATTCAGCGTTTGGTGTATCTAGATTTGAGCAACAATCGCATATCAGGTATCGGATTTCGTATAATGACAAAAGTTATAATGCTAATAATGTTGTTTTGGCTAATTTTAATAACATGGATATCATTTTTTTATATTGCAACTCTCTGACATGTTTATTCAGTTTTTCTATATTATCTTGTTCTTGAAGAATTAGTTTTTATACTAATAATCAACAGGGAACTTATATTTTAATTGTAATATGCATTCGTTGTAATTTTTCTTCTTTCTATCTACCACATTGAAGCGCAGAACAGGATTATAGTGCCGGAGTGTATGCACTCTCTATCCCTTCACTCGCATAGTCCGATAGTACGGTAGTCCGACACGACCGGAAAAAGATTAGGCGCAGGACCAACTTAAGGCCCGGTTTACATTTTGAGAAGTGACAACTGACAAGTGCCAAATGAGAAGTGACAAATGCGTATTTTATTCCCACTTATCACTTGTCACTGGCTGTTCACACGCACTAAGCATCGGGCCTAAGGCCCGGCTTACATGGTGAGAAGTGACAAGTACGAGTGGCAAGCGCAACTGACAAATGACAAGTGCTTAGTGCGTATTTTATTCATACTTTTCACTTGTTCTGGCTGTTCACATGCACTAAGCACTTGTCATTTGTCAGTTGCACTTGCCACTCGTACATATCACTTCTCAAAATGTAAGCCGGGCTTAAGCACGAGGGTGAAACACCACCAACTTTCGGACTCCGCGCTGCTACCAAGAGTCCCTTGACAGAAAAACTTAATAACTGAATTTTTTTAGAACGACCAGGGATCTCAAGACCAACAGTCGAGTTTATGCCCGCTATCTAACAAGGCAGTCGTATTTTGAATTTTATTGTCTTGACAATGGGATGCTGAGCCTTGGTAGGGTTAGAATATTGTAATGTCTTTCTAAAAACTTTCTTCAGTGTTTTTCTTAAGAATCGCTTAGTTGCATACAAAGCAGCAGAATTTTTTAAGCCACCTCTGCATGTTAAAAGTGAATTTCTTTTTCATAGTACCTTCACCTCTCGTGACAAGTCAACGGCAGAGCATATAGCTGACGGGATAAAGCTTGTGTTCAGATATGGTAAATCGTATTTAAATTAATTAGTTATTACCATTATCTGGATTTCGAACATTTTTGAGAGAGTTATTTTGTACACCGCCGAATTTTAAAAGTCGTGACTCCCGTAAATAGCAAGTACGATAATATCGGCAAACGCTTGACACCAGTTAAGTCTCCCCTCCTTTAAAAGAGAGCGTCAAGAGACAGATTTCAATTCACCGATACTGGTCCTTCCATGGCACCTGAGTACGGATTCCTAGGTTTGCTTCACATCGGTTTACTTTCTATCTTGGAGACAACTAACGATCAGCTTTCTGATATTTACTGATATTTTTTTCACAGTCGAGAGAGCAAGCTCTTGGCGAGTTTTAACAATACGATCATGTAACAGTATATAACATGAATTGATTATCAATTTTACGGGAACGATCCGACGAAACCGATACAAATGGTGTATGTATGTTATATACAAAGTAAACAAGCAATGTCCTCCTCTGATATACTTAACTACGTGACTCTTGTAGGTGCGCTAACCGCGTCTCTCAAAAAGTTTAATGACCTGATAACAGCACCTTCGCACTACAGGACGGAAAGAGCGATACGTTTTTATTTGTTAATTATCTCCTTTGATTAAACATTCAAAGACTTCAGTTACCTTTCCTTGTTCTTTCTGATGCCTCAGTCGCAGACCATTTTCACTCACAACGTTGCGTAGCGGTTCCTCTACAGTGTGGTGTAAGAAACATTTAACGTATCGTCTAAATTTCACAATAATATAGAGTACTGGTTTGTTATCTGTAGCATTATCTTTATTGTCAGTTGTGATAATTTCTCTAAAAGGTTTAGTCGTACTAAAGGCTTCTACTGTAAGAATCACTTAGAAAGGCGTATAAACAAAACCAAACGAAGTAATACAAAAATAGAACACGAGATGTTACTATGTTGTCCTCGATTTATTTCGATAAGGGGTGACCTTATAGTGATATAGGTAGGCGGGTCATAAGCCTTGTGCATTCGATTTATAAATGTAAGCAAACACATTCGTTAGTAGGGTACAGAGCGGGCACAAATATATAAATTAGCCCTACACCATACTACCTTTTATTGATCTGAGGGGGAGTTATTTGCTTATAACTTTTTTTGGGCTGCCTGTCTGCTAATTGGATTGCTTGAATCAATTGTAATGATACTTCATAAACAGATAGAGCCATGCTGCAGCTATATTATGGTTGCAGCACGAATGGGTCGGCTCGACCGGGGAAGGACCACGCTCTCACAGAATATCAGCGTCAAATAGCAGCTTAATGCTGCTGTGTTTCGTATGGTGAGTGTAGAGAACCGGAGACTCTTTTTACTGGAAACGAGGCATTCCATCTCAGTCCTCAGGGCTGGCAATGCATCTGCATTTTGATTCTTAATTGAAGATAAATGTAGATGTCTATGGGCCACAGCAATTTGGTACAAATTATTGTATAATACTTTTATTTTTCAATTCTTCATAAAATTCATCTTGATATGCAATGAAGATCAATAGAAAATAAAACTGTTGTACTAATGTTGCTAAGAATTTCCTCGCATATATCCGATCAATAAAATAAAATTATACTATAGCGGTCAGCCACCGTAGAGTCGACATCACCTGAGGATACCTTGTGTAGAGGCGAAACACGTGTCGTATTATCGTCGATAGTGTGCCTTTCCTAGTGTAGTGGTGTTGGGAGTAGTGGTGTTGGGAGTAGTGTTACTGGGATTAGTGGTGACGGGATTAGTGCACGCAATTGAGGGAGGGCGGGAGGTGCTCTTCAAACTAGGTAAGACACATCATTTTATTTTATTGAGCGAATATGTGCGAGGTAATTGTTACCAACTTTAGTATAATGGATTTCCGCAAAGTAACGCATGATTCTATTAATTTAAAACTGTTGTAATTCAAAATATTCAATAAAAGACCGGCCATATGCATAACATGTTTACAAAGAGTATATAAGCCCGTATATAAGTTTAGTATAATAAGCCGAATTTGAACTACAACAAATATTTAGTGAATAAATTTGGCTTGTTCAATTTGTTTGTTGTTAACCGTGAGGTAAGAAGAATAAGGGCCAATCATCATTATAATGCAGTTTACAATTCGTTCTCGGTCTGATAAAATATTATGAAGTAAACAATATGTGTGTGCATTCATACTATCCGTAACAGTCGAGTTTCACTCGAATCCCATTACAATAATATAATAAATCAGACCGAGAACGAAGTGTGAACGGCAAATGAGGATCGGCCCTAACTACTCCATATCGTCCCGTAAGTGTCGTTAGAAGGGATAGAGATAAAAAATACAGGAGATGGCCAGCAGCGTAAACCTGATTGACGACTTAACATAAATTAAAAAAAAATAACTGCGGTCACCAACGCGTTTGGCAAGCATGGCAAAATCCCCGCTATGAAACAAACTATGGGTGCGCATATGTTTAGCGGTGGGATTTTGATAGGCTGTAACTGTATACTAATATTTTTCTTATATTTACACATTTTACAGATTTTCGGGCTTATTTTTTTATATTAAGATAGCCCGTGACAATGAGGATGGAACCACGGGTACTACAAAACACGTCGGTAAAAAAGTGTAATTTACTTTGCTAAAAGCCCGTAAATACAGTTTTTACATAATTTTGAAAATAGGTTGAGGCAATTTAAACTTTTCCGATTATTAATATCTCTATATACATACACACACACACACACACATATATATATATATATATATATATATATATATATATATATATATATATATATATATATATCGTAACAGCAACAACTTTCTTTAATCTCAAATCAAAAACGTCATTGCATATAGATTTTAATAATAGTCATCCGACCCAGTTCCCCGCTTTCTCTTAAACGACGCCTTTATAGGTCGTGCAGAATCGCTAATAAGGTGACTGCATAAAACCTGAAGTAGGTAGCTAGTGAGCGATATAAACGAAGTATAAATCTATCAAGCAATGCCATTTCTAAAGGCAGGCAGAGTCCTTGCCGTCGTGAGAGTATCCACTACCGCAAGTTATCCCGTGGGGGGCGTAAGAGGCGATAAAGGGAAACTGAAATAAATGACTTGAATACTAAATTCAGAGCTTTCGGTTATGGTGAATGCGTGTTTAAGAGGATACCTCGAAAATGAATCGAAGTTTTGGGGGCGTGGCTTATTCCTTTGTCGGTGAAGCTAACGGACGACTGCGGGAGTGTCAAAATGAAAGTGATGCAATGACTTCATAGTATACAGAAAAAATATACAGAAAAAACTAAGTAAGCGCCAAACATCATTTTTATTTATTTTAACAAACTTAGATATGATTATTTACTATGCCTTAAAAATAATTCCATGAAATTATTCGTAAGAATATTGTGGTGTCATCGAGAAATGTAAATAATTAGAGTCTACTTTGCAATTTTTTCTATCGAAAAATTACATGATATCGTGTTTACCTTTTATGCAATCCAAGATCATATACTCAAAAATCATGTACCAAAATTTTGGTTTGCAATCTATAGAACTTAAAAAAAATATGTTAAATAGAAAAACCACCAAATTTTCGAGGTATCACCTTAAAAAACTTCTACTTTAATAAGTAAATATTGCTTGCTATATTTATCTTAATCTTCCAAGCCTGCTTAGGGATGAGGTGTCTAGACAGCTACCGCTAATCCAAGTGCCAAAGCCCACGAGTAGGTACTACATAACATAAATCTCTCACGTCTGCTACCCAGATGTGTAAGAAGAGACTATGTACTTCCATTTGGCACGATCCTGACTTGCCTTTCTCACTTATTTCACATTCATATATTTATGCACACATGCTCGGAGGTTAAGAGTACCCTTAACTTAACCCATCCTCAATATATCGCCAATTTAGTCGACAAAATTTCGTATAGTGTCCCATGTAGTAAACACGCCGAAACGAACGTGCTTTAAATTTAATAATGATGTTACGGCACTACTCCACGCAAGTCGGCTTACTCTGCCACTCTCTTCTACAGCACAAATTTGCTTTATCACACTATCCTCATTAATCTTTCTACGTGTCCAAACCACCCAAGTATTCCTTTCTTAATCCTGGTCACAACATCTTCTTGCAAACCACACTTTTCCCTTAGGCATCACACAATATCTCATCTTCAGGTTCATCCTTAACATACTACTTAATGACTACATTCCTACTAATCCTTTGAACCTGTGAACAGCTTATACATCTTCTTGCAAACCACACTTTTCCCTTAGGTATCACACAATTTCTCATTTTCAGGTTCATCCTTAACATACTACTTAATGACTACATTCCTACTAATCCTTTGAACCTGTGAACAGCTTATACATCTTCTTGCAAACCACACTTTTCCCTTAGGTATCACACAATTTCTCATTTTCAGGTTCATCCTTAACATACTACTTAATGACTACATTCCTACTAATACTTTGAACCTGTGAACAGCTTATACATCTTCTTGCAAACCACACTTTTCCCTTAGGTAATCACACAATTTCTCATTTTCAGATTCATCCTTAACATACTACTTAATGACTACATTCCTACTAATCCTTTGAACCTGTGAACAGCTTATACATCTTCTTGCAAACCACACTTTTCCCTTAGGTATCACACAATTTCTCATTTTCAGGTTCATCCTTAACATACTACTTAATGACTACATTCCTACTAATCCTTTGAACCAGTGAACAGCTTATACAGTACACTAGTTTTTTTTATAGAATAAGGGTAAAAAACGAGCACACAGTCTTCTTGATGGTAAGTGATTGCTGTAGTCCGGTACTTGAAGTCCTTCAGAGGCTCTAACCGAAACGCGTGGAGCAGAAGTGCGGTGGTCTTGTTCTTCAAGAAAGGTGACAACGCCCTCTTGAAGAACTACAGACCGACATCCCTTCTGAGCCGCGTGTACGTGCTGTTTTCGAGAGTCATTACAAATCGTCTCGCTCCATCTCACGACTTCCAGCCTCCCGAACAAGCCGGTTTCCGAAAAGGCTTTAGTACTATAAACCACAGACATACCCTTCGGCAAATTGTACAGAAGTTCGAAGAGTACAATCTGCCACTTTGCGTTTGGCGTATGTGGACTATGAGAAAGCCTTTGATCCCGTCGAAATTTGGGCAGTGCTACAGTCTTTTCAGCGGTGCCAAGTTGACTGTCGGTATATCGAAGTGCTGCAGTGTTTGTACAGTAGGGCTACCATGGCTATCCGAGTACAGAACCAGAGTACGAAATCTATCCAAATGCAGAGAGGTGTAAGACAGGGTGACGTTATTTCCCCGAAACTCTTCACCGCTGCATTGGAAGACGTTTTCAAGCTACTGGACTGGAAAGGATATGGTATTAGCATCAATGGCGAGTACATCACTCACCTTCGATTTGCCGACGATATAGTCTTTATGGCAGAATCGCTAGAGGACTTAAGCACTATGCTCAATGACCTCAATAGTGCCTCCCAACGGATAGTCTTAAGATGAACATGGACAAAACAACGATCATGTTTAATGTCTATGTCACACCTATGCCGGTAGTTAATGGGAGCACTAAGCTCGAAGTTGTTGACGAGTACGTTTACCTGGGACAAATAGTCCAACTAGGTAAGTCCAACTTCGACCGAGAGGTCAATCGACGGATTCAACTCGGCTAGGCAGCGTTCAGGAAATTACTACACATCTTCTCGTCAGGTATACCTCAAAATCTGAAAACTAAGTTATACAACCAGTGCGTGTTGCCGGTGATCACATATGGAACTGAGACGTGGTCCTTCACTGCTGGCTTTATGAGGACGCTCCAAGTCGCTCAGCGAGCTCTGGAGAGGGCTATGCTCGGAGTTTCTCTGCGTGATAAACTTAGAAATGAGTACACAGAGTAAACAGTAGAACCAGAGTGACCGACATAGCCCAACGGATTAGTAAGCTGAAGTGGCAATGGGCCGGCCATATAGCTCGAAGAACCGACAACCGTTGGGGAAAAAAGGTTCTCGAATGGCATCCTCGTACCGGTAGGCGAAGTGTATGGCGACCCCCCACTAGATGGAGTGACAACCTGGTAAGACATGCAGGAAGTCGATGGATGCAGGTGGCTCAGGACCGTGCTTTGTGGCATACCTTGGGGGAGGCCTATGTTCAGCAGTAGACTTGTGAAGGGCTGTAATGATGATGATGATTATTTAGATTTCTGTGGTTGTAACCCCTGAGAATTATTATTATTTGGATTTGGAGATGGGAATGACTCGTTTCCAGTAAAAAGGGTCTTTTCTTCTTTTCACTCACCATACGAAACACAGCAGCTTTAAGCTGCTATTTCACGCTGTTAACGACACGTACATATCACGGACGATTTTTTATATAAAGACGGCACCAAATATTCTCTCTTATATTATCATAGCGCCGCTAATAGCATTAAAGCGGAAAATTGATTATGCAATGAAAAATCATGCGATAATTAATTACCTGCAATAGACTTTCACACGTCGATAAGATGCAATGTACATTAAGTTTAACAGCGAAAAACCTGATTATTAGTAGTGTATATTGACTTTAGTGTTTAAAAATGAGCATTGACTTCAAGTCTTTAACTGTGATTAGTATCACTAACTGAAAACCTACAATGTTGCTCAGCATTTAACTACGTGGATGTCGTTTTATATAAGGGAGTTCTTTTTATAGAATAAGAGTGTGACAAACGCGCACACAGTCCGCCTGATGGTAAGTGAATGCTGTGGCCTATAGACATCTACATTCATCCTCGATTAAGAACGCAGATGCGTTGTCACTCCTCAGGACTAAGATGGAATGCCTCCTTTCCAGTAAAAAAGGTCTACGGATCAATACGCTCACCATACGAAACACAGCAGTATTAAGCTGCTATTTTATGCTGTTATTCTGTGAGATACTTAATAACTAACTACTTGTATTAAGTTTAGGTATAAAATTATTTTTTTTCTAGATAGCAAAGTACTTTTTCAAATACTAAACATCTTTCATGAGAAGTATTGTTTTAAGGTGAAGTATTGAGGAGCGAAATATTCCAAGGTCCCTACAACGATGGTGTGTACAGCAGTATTGCTTTGGAAACGCTGAATCTTGGTTACAACGAAATACACTCATTAGACAGATATTTGTTCCAATACACGCCGAACCTGACTCGCTTATACCTGAACAACAACCCTATAGAAATACTTGACCACGTCACCGTCCTCGCTCTGTCCAGTGCTGTCAACTTGGAGGTAAGTCATCAATATTGTTCACGAGATATATCTAATTTTAATTAAATAATCGAAAAGTCAACAAAAGAAAATATACAATAAGATGTAGATATGAGGTAGTACGAGGTGTACGATTGCCAATCCGTTTATGAAGCACGGGAATCCCCATTCTTTTAAGGCAGAGTAATGTTTCCTAGGTGAAAAAATACCTGTTACATTGGTGCCGGTGTCTCATTTACGTAAGGGTTGATAACGATAAGTCATTATTATGATTAGCCTGAAATGTCTCACTGTAGGGTAAAGGCCTCTCTACTCCCTTTCCACCTCTCCCTCTCCAGAGCCAACATAGACCAGCTCACCCATAAAATAATTATGATTAGCCTGAAATGTCTCACTGTAGGGTAAAGGCCTCCCTACTCCCTTTCCACCTCTCCCTCTCCAGAGCCAACATAGACCAGTCCGTCATAAAGAAGTCCAGTTCATCTCGCCATCTCCGCCTGGGTCTGCCTCGCCGACCTTTGCCTTCAATAGGGATCCATTGTCACTTTGGCCGATTGGTCATTTGGCATTAGGCAGATGTGTCCAGCCCAGTAACACTAGTAACATTATAATTCAATAGACGATTTATTCTCTTGGTCATTATTTACTATTACGTGACGATATTATAAGGTTACAGCCTACAGATGCCCCACATCTGGACACACCCTCCTCTAATTTCTGAGGGGCTTTTGGGGCAAGGACATGTCTGACGTGCTGCCTAATACGTTTTGCTTTGGCGCACTTTGTGAGTCTTCGAAAAAAATCTTTTTCTTTCTTTTTGTAATTTCTCAACCTTTCACGTTAAGATCAGCATTTAAAATTGCAATTATCAATTTCATTGGTGCCAGCGGGGATTGAATCCGGATAACTTGCGTACTGTGAAATTTACAGTGTGAACTTAGCCCCTGAGCTGCCGAGGCTCGAAATAATAAATTGAAAGAGTAGATAGGTAGTACCACTTCTGGCTCACTGAGTCAAAAGTGGTACAACGTTCGTCGACTAACGATCCTAAAAAAAAAAAGTTTTGGCATGCTCTGATCACGAATCTGCGGATGAATCCATTTTTGCGTAGGATGCACAGTTCCGGAGATGTACAGATCAATTAACTCTTATCTAATTGATATCCGATGAGGGCCTCCACCGTCATTAGCGCCCCACTGTTATTTATCTATTGTTCATTGACTACCGTCATTAGGCTTATCAGTGCTATTGTATTATACTTCTTTGTTCCTATCTACAACGCTAATCTGAATCATCAATAAAACACATTACCTAATTTTGTTACAATTTTTATTCACAAAATACAAAATCTTATTACTTATTGTCTATAAAATAGGAGCGAAACATCTCATCCACTAAAATATCATTGTACAATGTGTTCCCTGTAAATATACTCGTAAAACTATGCATTGAACATCCCTGAAACTTATATAGCAAATACATTAAGCAATATTCGCCACAAACTGAAGTCCACTCATTCTGAATACTATCAACATTCCAGTTCCATTTTTTACAATTCCTTTTTAAAAACTCTAGATGACATCGTACAAGTGACCGTCCATATGAATCAAAATATTGACTGACGTCATTCGTATCGATATATAAAGCTACCCAATGTGACCCTGGTTTATCATCTGTATCCAAATTGCATATTATATACGTTAGTACGTGGGTATACATGGGCAGTCTATTATCAGCATAAACATTATTTTCTGGACTGGGGTGAATCTTTTTCAGATATTGTTGTACATCTAGTCATTAAACTAGTTCACTACACTAGTCTAGTTCTAGTGTCTCCATGATATTACTGCTATTAGTAGATTATTACAGTACCAATCTACTCAATGACTAACATAGGAATGATCAATTATAGTGATTTCTAAATATTAAATTGCATTCTTTTGTTGAGTCATCGATACACTGAACAAGACGCAACACGAAGGAATGTTGAGATAAGCAACAGAATGTGAGATAAGCTTGTTAACGCATAAAGTTACTCGTACTATCAGTTCCACTGCAGAAATTCTTTAGATTAGAATTATTACTTACTGGTACTATATAAGACCGAGCAGCTGCAGTCATAGAGTTAGTGTATGGTCGTTTGACCGCAGTGGATCTATCAATACTACATTTGTGTTACTTCAACGCATCAAAGGCCATGGATGTATGTGTTTATTCTATTGACAAACTTACTTTTCATTCTGTTATTTTCTTACGTGTGTATGATTTAGTGTTAACAAATTATATTTAAATATTATATGATTAAGCCGTGGTAGCTCAGATGGTTTGCGCAAGCTGTATATTTCACAGTACGCGACCCGGGTTCGATCCCCGCCGGCACCAATTAAATTGTTAATTTCAATTTTAAGTGCTGATTTACCACGATCTCAGCGGTGAAGGAAAACATCGTGAGGAAACCTGCATGTCTGAGAAAATTTCGAAGGCATGTGAAGTTCGCCAACACGCATTGAGGCAACGCGGCGGACATTTCCTAGCCCTGAATACAAAGACAATAGCAGAAAGTGAAAAAGTTAAAAATACTTTTTTAACAATGACAGTCAATAGTTGATCATTAGTGAATGTGATTCTGTTTACTTAAATTACAGGAAGACAAGAGCAGAAGGAAGAGATGGGATGATGGGAAGTAATGAATGAAGTTTGTTGGAACAAACATATTTTTATTCACGTGTAAATACTTTTAACTTTTTGGTTCAAAATAACACAAAATCTAAAAAATATTAGATACATCATCGACATGGACGGATTTTACATTACATATCCTCATAAACATTTTCAATGTAGAGAAATGGCTATTCTAGACGTAAAACTATCTAATGAAAATTATGCGTTTATCGATCATTATTTGTTTCGGACAAGTTATCCTTTCAATTATTTGTCGCCAAAAGACAAAAAACTGTTCGTTATTGCGAAACACAAGTGCACGGCATTCCATATTTTGACGTGACCGAAGAATTAAAATGTGCCTACAAACAAGGGGACATCATTCCCATCTTAAATTGTTACATTAGAAATTTGTGCAAAGACGAAGTGATCGCATACAAAGGTGGTTCAGCAGAAAAACAATTTTTAAAAATGTTGACGACGAATGATAGAATTTTTAATATTGAAGAATACAAATGTCCAAAATACAATGATTTGGTAAATGTGATAAATTTAAACAAACGCTATGTGTGTAATAATCATATATTTGCAAAAAATAATCACAAAATTGTACATTGTTCTTGTGATGAAGTGTGGGTTTTTTACAAGTGGTTATTGCTTGAAAATAAAATTTTAAAATTAATCATAAATTTTGTTTGATTTCCCAAAAACATTAGTTATACTACACAATATATATTAATTGTTTACCTACACCAACACTTTCATTTTTTATTTCACCCCTTAGAACTTTAGACGTGTCTAATGTTTCACTTTATACATCCGTTTACTGCTATTGTGGCAGGACCAAGTGGATGTGGGAAGTCAAATTTTGTAACAAATTTCATAAAATCAGTTACAGAAATATGTAATTGTGATTTTAATCAGATCACATGGTGCTTTGATGAAATGCAACCTTTATATAATTTACCATTGATTTTTATAATTTACCATTGACCAGCATCTTATATGGAACAAACAAATTGAGTGTACCATCGACAAGGTAAGAAAGCTTATGTGGGTTTTTAGAAGGCTAAGACATGTCGCAGATAATAAAATCCTTATATGTACGTATAAAGCTCTAGCCCAATCTGTCTTAAGCTACTGCATTACAGCTTGGGGTGGAGCAGCTAAGTCCTATTTAATAACTCTTGAAAGGGCTCAGAGAGCATTACTGAAAGTGATGTTCTTTAAACCAATCCGTTTCTCAACTCACGAACTACACAAATCTTACAAAATCTTAACAACCCGCCAAATGTACATCTTAAAGAGTGCTATAAGAACCCACAGCACTTTACCATACACTGCCCCCCAGACACTAAAACGTAGAATTCTACCTGTTTTCAAGATTCCATATTGTAAAACCAAATTTAAGAAAAAAACAATTCGCCTATCAATCAAAACATCTATATAATAATTTAAATAGTAGGCTTAATATGTATCCCCTCACTTGTGCTAAATTAAAAAAATTTGCTAACAACTACTCTGCTTAACCTTAATTACGAAGAAACAGAACTGCTTATTCGCTAAACTCCACACACACACACACACACACACACACACAAACGCTTACACACACACATACACACACACACACGCACACTTTCACTCTTTCTTAAGTATCAAAAATCTCATCAATTCATGTCCATGTAATATCCTATGTTTCAAATTGTTAAAATGTATCTGTTGGAAGAGCGGGGTACCCCGTAACACAGGTTTAACAACCCAGTACAGGGGCCCTTGCCACTTGTTTGTTACTACCTTTTGAAACGCAATAAACAATTTTTAATTTTTTTTTTTTTTTTAATTTACCAAATGTTAACTATCATCAAGGAATTCCAAATCTTAATACGTTTGATGGTGAAAACCCACATCTCGTTATTATTGATGATATAATGAGAGAGTTCGATGGAAGAATTGTAGATATAATTACAAAAGGTAGTTATGACAGGAATCTCAGTGTATTTTATTTAACACGAACTTTATTTCATCAGGGTAAAGGGCAAAGAGACATATCTTTAAACTCAAGTTATATAATATATTTTAAAAACCCTCGAGATAAAACTCAAATAAGATATTTAGCACGACAAGTGTCACCAGATAATCCAAAATTCATTGAAGATGCCTACAGGGATGCAACTCTAGAGGCGCATGGATATTTGATGGTAGATTTAAAACAGAATACCAACGATTTTTGTCGTATCAAGACAAATGTCTTCCCATTTAATGGTTTCTGTACAGTCTACGTTCCCACAAAAGAGTTTAAATACACCAAGAATCAAACAATTCAAATCATTGCTAAATAATGCATCGTCGACTCACAA